TTTAAAATCGGTGAAAGGCAAAGAAAAGGGAGAAACAGGCAGTGACAAAGCAGCCTTGCCATGTCATTCCCCCGTATATCCATGTGACTGGGGAGCCAACAAAGCACAATGTCGTTTTTCGGCCCAGAGAGCTTGTATATATCCCCGATTAATGGGTGTACAAGCTGGATGTTATAAATAGCTTGTAATGAGGACAAAGAATCAGAAAATATAATACATTTTTAATGATATAGAGGACAGAAAGAACTGAAGTGCCTGTAAAATGGCAATGAGTTCTGCTGTGAAAATGGAGGCTGCTGATGTTAAAGCTACAGATAGAACTTCGGATGGTGTAACTGTAGCGGCTGCTACCTTATCACCATCCTTAGATCCATCTGTATAGAAAGGTGAGTAATCCCCATATTTAGACCTTAGTTCTAGAAATTTAGATTGAAACACTATAGAGCTTGTCTGAGTTTTCTTATTGCTCGATAGACTGAAGTCTATCTGAAATGGAGCAATCGACCACGGTGGAGTTGTGGTCATTACGAAGTCCGCAATACTGTCGTGGCTTATACCAGTCGCTGACATAAGGGGTTGAATGCGACTCCAAAAGAAGAAACAGCACGAGGCTTTGCCTCGTACAGGTGTTCAAAGTAAGGTCTAAATACGGGGCAGTAAGCAGGATGTTGTGGCAATGATGCTATCTTGATAGCGTACTGCAATGAAAGCCTGTCACGTCTGTCGTACAATGAGGGCTCATTAGCCTCGACGTACAGTATTCATGAATGAAGAAATGCGAAAAGTGTCAAATATGGAATGGCCATCCACTTAAAAAGGTTGTCGAGGAGTTGCACGGATAACAGCTAAAGTTCTTTTCTACCAGCTGGTCCTTGACCAAACCTCTTGGCATTGACCTTTCACCGATTATCTGACAATGAAAATGCATCCTTTTAATCGGATGATAAACCAAAGTTACAGGCTATGCGTGATAATGATCCCTCGATAGTTCGACAGTTTCCCAAATAAATAAATTTTCAGAAGGCAAAGCGCTCTATAATTTTAGAAATCGGTGTAAGACATGGAAAATTTGGAGACAGACAGTGACAAAGCAGCCTTACCCACCGAATCTGCCTGATCATTCCTCAGAATATCCATATCACTAGGGAGCCAGCAAATACAGTGTCATAGCTTAAGAAAAAAAAAACAGGTATGGGGTGGATAAGCTGGTTCCCAGAATAATAAAAGTTAATATTAATTGCTGTTTAATATTCTAAGGTACACACAACTTCAATAATTGCTGCTACGATAGCCACAACTTTAAATAATGAAAATTGAGATCACTATTTATCTTTTTTTTACAAGTTGACTTACATTAATTTCAACGTTCACATCAAGGGAGGTAACTCAGTACAAAATTTAGATTTACATATATTATGGCTGGATATGTTATATCTATTTGATGTTATATATATTTGTAAAATTTCATATTTTATTATCGTGGCTTAAAACAACAAAGCCTATTCGTATAATAATGTAGTAAATGAATCAGAAACACACTATTGGCGTTGTCGAATGGCATGGTGAACCCATGTTTGTGTATCGATGAAGTTCCAATCTAGACGACACATTACGGTTATTGCTGTTCTTCTTAACATTTTTATTTTGGAGGTCTATGTTTGTTAATGGCCAGTCAGTCTGATGTGAGCCTCTGCCTCTTGTCCCTTGACCATGGCAACCGATGGTTGATTTTTAAAAGACCTCAAAATTTGCAATGTTGTGGTGGGGGTTAACACATCACACCAAATCATTAAGATTTATTATATAACAAAAACCCGAAAATACAAAAAGAGAATAGTTACAAACAGGTCCTAAATTAGAAGGAAAATTTAACACAATATCAGATGTATCGAATAGTAACCTTATAAAACTTGCAAACTTAATCATTTAAGTTTGGTGATTAGATCACTCGATTTTGAAGACCGGCTATTTGTTGTCGACATCATTGGCGCACAATTAAGGTT